AGCACCTGCCATAGACTCCATCCATACTGGACCAGGTGCCCTGAGTGCAGAGACCAGGCCATTTTGACTGGTTTCCATTTAACACCTACAGATTGCCCTCCATCCACAAATGTTCTTTATATATGGAGTATAACAAAGAAAAACCCCACAATCAACACATACTGATTATGTTAACAAATGAATCTAAGTACTTTTTGCCCTACATGGTTTCAAGAGATGTGTGAATAAAGTTTATCTAAGTCAATTTCCCACGGACAGAGTCCCCAAATAGCATGTAGTCCACATGTAAGGACCCATGCCAGTCTTCCAAGGAGGCCACCAAAACCATATATTGTGGTCTTCAGTTTTCTGGAATTTACAAGATAAAACGGGACCTGATGCCACATTCTAGGGCTATTATGATTCAAATCACAATACTACAAACTTGAGGAGATCATAAAATGCATCATAACAAAGATGACTTCCAATGAGAGAGTCTGGCTGCATAGGGTTTAGAGATCTCTTGGTTTGTTGAATAGATGTTGTTATAATCTAATTTCACTGGTGGCATTACCAGCAAACTTTATAAATACCAAGAATGTTATTGGCTGGGGAGAAAGTTGGAATTGTTGGAAATGCTGTGGGGTGGAAAACACACTCGAGATTAGGGAAGAATGTGTGAAAGAAATGAAGAAAGGCGAGTCAAAATTGGGAACTCCACTCCAACTGGAGTGGAGCTCTGTCCTGTTCCTGAGGCCCTTCTTCCTCTTGGCTTCATTCTTTACCCTGGCTTTGACAGACCCTAATGATGAGAGGGTGGTATGAGACATCTAGGACATCGAACAGGCTGGTTGGGGAAATATTTGTGGGTTTCCCCCTTGTGAGACTATTCTCATTCTAAAGAACTTGGAAAGGTAGGATTTGCCAGTCTAAAGAAGGATTAACATCAGAAAAGGGTTTTTCCTTTCCTGCCCATTTCTACTAACCTCAATCTCTACTGAGATTCCTCCAAATCTCAACTAATGATCAGCACACAGTAGTTTCTCAATAAAATACCTTTGAACTGATTAAAGACATGTATGATTGCTTATGGCCACATTAAACTGTGTTTCCTACGATGGAGAGTAAGATTAGTTTTACTTTCAAGATGGTTACCTGATGTGATGTGAGGACCAGCTCTCTAGGATCTGAATAGTTTCACGATGAAGAGATTCCAGTGTGTCATTGTGTATCTCTTCCAGCCATCCTGCTTGCTACCTGTCTGCTAAAACAGAAAGATGTGCAGACAAAACTTTGCTCTTTTACCTTAAGAAAAAAAAAAAAGGCCTTCATGCCGCAGGACACAAGTGACAGACCATAAAAGAGCAGATACCAGTGAACCGCAGGACACAGATGGAAACGTATTTATTTATGCCTAATAAACAAGGGATGATTAACCCAGGTCTATAGGAAATAGTGAGTAAGAGGTCGGAATGGGACGCGGGCAGTGAAGAATATCTGCTTTTTAAATAACTCTTGTGGTTTAGGAAAGGTAGGCTGTAATTACAAAGTTTGGCTTTCTGAAGGTCTGTTAAAGCTTTGTAGACACACATGCAAATCCTGTAACAAGCCTGCAATATTTGGATGCGCTAGTATGTTAACGGAGTAGTGTGGGTGGGGGATTTATGTAGGAATATTTGGCACATTGAACTTCCGCCTCTGTCAAAACACATATTCTGATTTAAATGTTCATATCGAGTATTTTTGTCCCACTATGTTTATGAAGCTCTTTGATAATTCTTGTCACATGCTTCATGAAGGGAACTGTATTTAGCATGAGACACTGTGCTTTTCATACAGCTGGAAAACGCTATGGTTCCTCACTACCCTAGACTCCATGTTGCTGATACCATAAGGTTTTCTAGCCATGGAAAGGCCCCCTCGGGGCACCAGGGGATTTCGTGGGATGTCAGCAAGGGCCTCAGGGAGCAGGAGAAAACTGGACTGTGACCCAGTGGGATCATTGCTCCTGGGGCCTTAGCTGTTTATTTTCACATTCCTCCTGCCCACCACCTTATAACTCATCATCTTCCTTCTTCTCTGACACTTTTGACACAAAGCAGAGCCAACAGAAATGAATAGAAAGTTACCGATGAAACAGGCTGAGGGAAGGTTTGGGAAATAAGCCCTCTGTTAGGCAGAGAGGCCAGAGGAGCAGCAGCCATATTGAAGTCCCAACGTGGGACAGCTGAGCGATATTTAATAACAGTCCCGAGGGCTGATGATAGGACTCCGGGAGCATTTTCCACTGGTAAGGGACAAGAAGGGTAGGTTTACATTCCAAGTGGAGTTAGAGTCGACCAAGGAAAGGTTCGCCCATCTTCCAGAAGTGTCTGGCAAAAGATGAGTCATGGGTTCTAGCTGTCATGCCGCACTGAAAAACAGCCTCACCTCTTTGAGGATATCCACTCATGTATTTACTCAAAAGCATTTTATCAAAAATGATCACTTGGACATGGAAGGTAATATGATGCACTCCCCTTCTTCCTTGCACACACACACACACACACACACACACACACACACACACACAATATTTCTCACTGAGAATCTCTCTTCATAGGTCTAGCCATGATTGCATACTGGCCTTCTGAAAAGGCAGAGGAAGACTGCTTTTTGAAAGAAAGTATGTAAAATCGTTTTTAAAAAGATTTCTAATACCTATCATTTCATCATTATAACTTCATTCCTTTAGATCTCTCAAGTTCCTATTTAAAATCTAAACAAAATTGGATCAGAAGTGAAGGGTACCCCATAGGCCCATCAGTAAGTAAAGAGTAACTTGTTGTTCTAGAGGTTATCTTGGGATTCTTTAGCTCTGAATTATTTGAACATCTCATACACCCTGCCCTGAACGTGTACTATCCAGGGCCCCAGGCCTGCTGTTGCTGGGACTTAGATTTCCTTGTGCTGCACTTTCACTCCTGGCAGGCTTAGGTTCCAGGACATGAGCCTGGCTAGAGACTTATAGGACCTCAGGTCCAAAACCAAAATAAAAAGCAAACAACATATTGGGAAAATATTTGCAATTCGTGACAAAGGTCAATCACCTTACTATAAAAAGAGCTCTTGAAAAATCAATAAAAGATGAATACTACAATAGAAAATCAGCAACAAAACCAAACAGACCCAATGAAAATATAAAGAGAACGTTCATAAGGGAAGGAATACAACATGATGGAAAAGCAAAGAAAAACAGTTCATACTTACAAGCAGATAAAGGAACACAAAATAAAGCAAAGAGATAGTTACTCACTTATCACATTAGCCAAAAAAAATTTGTTTTGCTCTATGAGTGATAAAATTCAGTCTTGGTAGGGTTCAGGAAAATGTACTTCTTTTACATTGTTGGTAGGAGTGTGAATTGGCACAGCCCTTCCGGAGGGAAATTTGGCATATTTGTCAGGACCCAGCATTCCTTAGTACATGCACCACAGGAAATTAGCTAAATAGAATATGGTTCACCCACATGTCACCATTAAAAAAGTTGTAGGAGAAACATCAGGGTCACAGATGAAAGAGTAGATTATAAAATAACATTCAATACAAACTTAATTTTTTATTAAAATATACATAGGCATGAAGAACCAGATTCTTTGTGATATAATTATTGAGCACATAAACCTACTTATAAAATTTACATAAAATTATCATTCTAATAAAATGCAAATATTATGTAAATCATAATTATTTTACAGTTATATAAAATTATTAAGTTTGAAATTTATTTTGCTTCCAGGAACATGGAGGATGTGGAGAAGAGTGATCCCTGGTATACTGTCTGTAGGACTGTAAATTGGTGCAGCCACAGTGGAAAACAGTATGGTGGTCCCTCAAAAAATTAAAATTAAAAATATCATATGACCCAGGAATTCCACTACCGGCTATTTACTCAAAGGAAATGAAAACACTAATATAAAAAGACATACATACCCCTATATTTATTGCAGCATTATTTACAATAGCCAAGATACGGAAGCAATCCAAATGTCCCTCCATAGATGAACGGATAAAGAAGAGGTGTTGTGTACATAAAATTATGTATGTTACTCAGCCATATAAAGAGAGGAGATCCTGTCATTGGTGACAGCATGGATAAACCTAGATGGTAATGATAAGTGAAATAAGGCAGACAGATAAACACAAATACCCTATGACTTTACTTATATGTGGAATCTAAAAAATAAAACAAATGAATAAATAAATGAACAAAAAGAGAAACAGACTCATAAATACAGAGAACAAACTGATAGCTGACAGAGGGAAGAGGGTGGAGGGATGGGCAAAATGGCTGAAGGGAAGTGGGAGGTACAATTCATTCCAGTTATGGAATGAGTAAGTCATGGGGATGAAAGGCACAGCACAGGGAATACAGTCAATGGTGTTGGGAGAGCACTGTGTGGTGACAGATGGGAGCTCTGCTCGGGAGGAGCCCGACATAACACACAGAATTGTCCAATCACTCTGTTGTGTACCTGAATCTAATATAATGTTGTATGTAAAAACTAGAGATATATTTGAAAAACCATATTCTTTGTGATATAAAATTATTGTTTCCAATTTATTTTGCTTCCATGAATATAGCTCCTTAAAAATCTAACAAAAAGAATCTCCTTAGCAGTAAATAGTTTCTACAAATATTTATTAAACTCTTCTTACGAGCCAGGCACCATTTTAGGTGAGAGAGACAGAGATATTTAAAACAAAATTCTATTCTTTATGTCCCTTTTGGTAGGGTACATAGACAATAAGCAAAACATACTTAAGAGCGATAATTTCATAAAGAAAATAAAATCGGTTACTGTAATAGAGACTGTCAACAGTTCAGGGAACAATATTAGCTATGATAACCAATCTGAATTATATTTCAGCTGGGACCAGTGTGGGTGAAGCAAAGCATTACAGGCAGGAGAGAGGACAATTACAAAGGCCCTGAAGTGGGAACAGCACTGGAATGCTTTAGGAACAGACTTCAATTTGAAAAGAATCTGCATGAAAGAGAGCAAGAGGATGTTAAGAAATGAGGTCAGAGAATTAGGCAGGGATGAAATCATATGGACTCTAATGCCAGGTAAGGAGCTTGAGTTTTATTCCATGGCAATGGGAAGTCATGGGAAGAGTTCAGTTTATTGACAATTTGACAAGTTGTATCTTTTAAAGGATAAAAAATTAGATGTAAGTGTTTGGTAATATGCAGTTAATAAATTAACTTCATAGACAAGATTTTATTCAATGAAACAATTCTGTGGGGTAGGTGTTATTTATTCTCATCATACACCTGCTACAGAGGCTCAGAGTAGTTGAACAACTTGGCCATGGTCATACAGCTAGTAGGTGGCATGATCGGGAAGAGAAGCAGGGGCGCCTGAGTTCTGGGTAATTTGCCAGGAAGCAAGCTAAATAACAGTCTACAACACTAAATGTCAGGCCGCTGGTATGATAGTTAAAATTCATACAGTGCCATTACCACATGAGCACACTGAATGAACAAGTGAACTCGTCTGTCACCACCTCCCCCTAGTATAGGCTTCTCAGGAAGTAACTAAGGCAGGAACTCAGCCTATGTCATCCCATGTTATGGCACTAGGACTGGAAAATCTGAGACTTTGGTTGCAACATTTGGCACCTTGACTTCAGATCATCTTCAAGCCTTTAGAATGGGCTAAGTGTGCTGGGTGCATTCTGTCTCTTGAAGCAGCCTCCTAGCCCTGCCTCCCTGGGCAGAGTGCTGTAGGAGGACTGAGTCCTTCTTCCCAAGCTGAGGGACTGGTTGGAGCCTGCTCAAAGTGAGAATGGGTAGAAACATTTGTTATGGACCTCACCCTGCTCTTCCACCATTCTGTCCGTTGAGAGGAGGAACAGATTGGGCAAAGTCCTCACAGCTGAGCCTCTGTGCAACTGTTGCTGAAGCCACCCTGCTTCTCTCCACTCCCTAATGGTGTCACAACAGCCACTGTCTACTGTTTCTCTCCACGTGGGGCATTGGAATCTTACTCCTCTCCCTGTCCATCCTCAGCTCACCCTGGCTCATCCCTCAGGCAGCTGCAGGCTGTGGAAATATCCCACCCACTCAGTGGTCTCTCTTTTATCCCTGGATTCCCAAAATGCTGCTTTTGGTTAGCTGCACTTTCCCTCTTCTGGGACTTGCCAGTTTGTGCTTGCAACTATTGTCCGAATAGTTTTCTGTAGAGACCTTCCCTCATAGCTCTCTGGGATCTGAGTTCAGCCTTCTTAAGCAAGCATGTAGCTGATAGGAGATATCTAGAGTAGTCAAATTCATAGGGACAGAAGGTAGAATGGTGGCTTCCAGGGGCCGAGAGGAGGGGGGAATGGAGAGTTGTTGTTTACTAGGGACAGAGTTTCAGTTTTGCAAGATGAAATAATTCTGGAAATCTGTTGCACAACAGTGGGCATACAATTAATACCACTGAATTGTATGCTTCAAAATGACTAAGAAGCTGTGCATTTTTTTTTAACCACAATTAAAAAAAATAAGCAGACAAGCTGTGAGCCTGGTGTGCCCCTAGTTTGCTATCCTCTTCTAGCTCCAAGCTGTCTACTCAAACATGGTCCTCTGCTTTCTTGTTTGGAGGTCTGGCCTTTGGTAATGAGACTCCTTGACCTCTCGTTTGGTGGCATAGCTGGAACCCACTACTCTGCAATCTGCATGAGGACACAGTCCATCTCCTCAGTCCACTCCATTGATGCCTCCATCCCCATCAATCCCCAGCCACACTCCTTGTCAAAGTCACAATGATTTTCACTATGCCAAATCCAAGGGTCACTTTGTGGTCCTTTTCTCTCTTAACCTTTCTCTTTAACACAACTGACCTCTTGAAATACACTCTCCTCTTAGTTTCAAAACTACTTTAGTATCTTGGTTTCCTCCTAATTTGCTAAACATTTTAGAGTCCTTTGCTGGCTCCGCCTCTTCTCAATGGTTTAATGTCAGCATATCCAAGGCTCTAGCATTGACTTCCTCTTCCCTTTCAGCATTTTTTTTCTAGATCATCTCATTCATCTTTAGATTTACTTATAAGTCTCTGTGGATAACCCCCAAATTTGTGCATTCAGCCTGGATTTTCTCCCTAAGCTCAAAACTTAGGCCTCCAGCTGCCTCCTTGACCACTCCACTTGGAGTCTGTACATTTATTGAGAATTTTCAATTCATTGGAGGGTATAAACACGAGATCATTTTATGTTTTCCCATGGCTGCCCAATTATGCTGTTCTTCAAGAATCTTGGGATGGTTCGGCCCAACTGTGCAATGTTGAGATTAATAAAGCTGTCTCATGCTAGATTTTAAAATCTCAGTACTGCCCATCTTAAATACTATCTCAATGGTCAATTCAGGTCTGGGGCAGAAAATGTGGAAGATAGGCCTCAAAAATCTTAGGACACCAGAAATCAAGGAATCAATTGAAGAATTCTGGGGCCCTGCCAAAATAATTTGGGAGTCAACTTGAAGAGTCTAAAGGTGGAAACATTTGATCAATCATAAAAAAAATAATAACTGCAGTGGATTAAACACACAAAAATTATTGAGTCTGTTCATAATGAAACTTAAAAAAACTCAACTCATTTGTCTCATTTTGAGGATGCTAGGGAACTAAGACATCATTTTGATAACTTGTAATTAGAGAGAAAGTATGTATTTTCGTGTTTAAAATGAGGCTCGGGGTAATAAAGTAGTTGATGAGGAGAAACTTCTTTTTTTTTTAAGATTTTATTTATTTATTTGACAGAGAGATCACAAGGAGGCAGAGAGGCAGGCAGAGAGCAGGCTCCCTGCTGAGCAGAGAGCCCGATGTGGGGCTCGATCCTAGGACCCTGAGACCATGACCTGAGCTGAAGGCAGAGGCTTTAACCCACTGAGCCACCCAGGCACCCCGAGAAACTTCTTTTCATAGAAACATTCCAGCTGATAAATGAAGAAGAACAGAAATAGAATATTGGAACTTCTGATGAAATAGTTATTTTGGCTATGATCATCAATGATGACTAAAAGAAAGAAGAAAATGGGGAAAAGCTGTGCAATGGATTTGGCAAGGATTTCTTGGATAAGACAAAATGCACAGGCAACGAAGGTAAAAATAAATTGGACTACATCAAAATCAAAAACCTCTGTGCATCAAAGGACACAATAAACAGAGTGAAAGGACAACTTAGGGAATGGGGGGGAATATTTATAAATCATATCTCTGACCAGACTTGAATAGACGTTGAAAGATGATATACAGATGGCCAACAAACACTTGCAAAGATGCTCAACATCACTAAATTAGGGAAATGCAAATCAAAACAACAATGAGATATCAGTACACACCCATTACATTAGAATGACTACAGCCCAAAGTAATAATAATAAAAACAAGGAGGAGGAAGAGGAGAAAAATGAGGAGGAGGAGAATGAAAGAAAAGAGAAAAAAAAACAAAACAAAACAGAAAATGGCAAGTGTTGGCAAGGATATGGAGACGTTGGAACCCTTCTGCCCTGTTGGTGGGAATGTAAAATAGGGCAGCCACTATGGATAATAGTATGGCAGTTCCCAAAATAAAATTAAAAATTGAATACCCATATGATCCAACAATTCCTCCTTTGGGCATATACCGAAAAGAATTGAAAGCAAGGTCACAAAGTGATATTTGTATACATATGTTCATAGCAGCACTTTTCCCAGTAGCCAAAAGGTAGGAGCAATTTGAATGTCCATTGACAGGTGAATGGATAAACAAAATGTGTATAATGGAATATTATTCAATCTAAAACAAGGAAGGAAATTTGCATACATGCTACAACATGGATGAAACTTGAAGACATGATGCTAATTGAAATAAAACAGTCACAAAAAGATAAATATGGTATGATTCCATTTATATAGAGTGGTCAGATTTATAGAGAGAATTATTGAGAGCTGGAGGGAAGGGAGAAGTGGGGAGCTGGTGTTTAATGGGCATAGACTTCCAGTTTTGTAAAATGAAGAACTTCAAATATTGGCTACACAGCAATGTGAATGTGCCTAACCCTACTAAACTGTACACTTAAAAATGGCCAAGATGGGAAATTATATATACATATATATATGTTTTCCCACAATTAAAAAAGAGAGAGGCCAGGACAATTGGCTATTACAGTCTTCCTGGGGAGGAATAGAGCATCACCTACAAAACAGTCTTGCCAAAAAAAAGTCACAACAATTTAAACTTGATTAAGCCACTGGATCTAACTACCAATTTACAGAAAATGCAGGGACAGAGGAACTTGTTCAACATCACATGGAAGCAATCAGCAAAATCCAAACTGTGGGAAACTACAGGAAAACAACAGAGTTTCTTCAATAAATAAGTTGCAAGAGAAAAAAGTAGTAGTAGGAGGAAACCATAGAGTAAAAATCTTAAAAGAAATAAAAACCAATTGCAGTGTATGGAATTATTTGGGTTCTGATTCAAACAAGCCATTAAAAAGTATGACACACTCAGGGAACATGTGATAACATTCAGGAATCTAATGGTTGTTTTTAAGTTCTTATCTTCTAGAGACTTATACTAAAATATTTGTGGGTGGAATAGTATAATATCTAGGACTTGCTTCATATATAATTGGGGCTGAGGAAGTTGGAGGACATAAATGAAATGTGCTTGGCTGAGTTCCTAATTACTGATGCTGATTGGTGAAGCTACTGCATTATTCTCCCTATCTTTACATTGGCTATTTTGCACAATTAAATGTTTTCTTCACAAAATATTAACTTTATATTCCATCCAAGCCTTTCTCTTCTTCCCCAGCAGTTCAGCATAAGGGAAGGGAGGGTGGTCTGTAAACACTTTCACTCACCCTCATCCAGTGACTTGGCCTATTCAGTGGGCAGGCAGGAGGGGGAGCAGCTCCTTGCTGGGCTGTCCCGAGTGAAAGGCAAAAAACCTTTTTCTCTGAATTGCCATTGCCTGTTCACACAGTCTGACTTTCGTACGGTAGGAACTGCATGCTGGATCTCTGCTGGAACACATCTGTGGGTTCCCTGGATGAGTCTTCAGATGGCCTTCTCTGCTGTGTAGTTCCTTGGTATGGAGGTCTGGCTCAAGTTCAAGTTTGAGCTCTTTCTACCCACAGTCCCAACACAGCTTCTAGGGTTGCCCTTGCCTGGAGGACACATCTCTGGGTGGGGTACCTGAAGATAGCTAAGCCCAGCCATTTTCTGAACTGTATCCAAAACCCACAGGAGATCCATATGTCCTTTCCATGTCAAAGGAGGGGACCCTGGCTGCCCAAGTGGTCCGCCTTCTCTTGTCCTTTCTTCCACTCCTTTTTCCACGTCCGGGTGGCATCAGATAAAGTGTAGGCAACTTTAGACAAAAGACAGAACTGGGATTAGGGTTGGATTGGGCCCATTCACTCTTTATAATTGATTATTTTGGGGGTCTTTCTCTTTCATTTATTGAATGAAACTTCAAGTAAAATATGGCCAGATTAAGCCTACCATTAAGTTCTACCAGCCCAAGTTTTCCAAATAGGGAAGAGTCTGGATTTCATGTGATGTAGAGAATTGGCAATTAGCATAAGCTCATTGATTTTTTTTAAATGACCCTGTGTCTTAGGTGAGAGTCTCTATTAATTAATTGAATATCTCAACTTCTTTTGGGTTTATTTCACAGATAGAAAGAACTATAATCACGCCTATGAACAGAAAGTTAATGTTAGACCATCAGGGCAATAAGTACAATATTGAATAAACTTTTCACTAAGGAAACATACTCCTTGGCACAAAACAAATGTATGATATGGAAGAGTCAAGAAACACATATACTATAGCCCAACAAAGAAGATAATGGCAGATCCCACTGATTTGCATAAGTCCAATGCTAAGTATTTTATATATGCTACTTCATATAATCCCCACATGATCCCATTATTATCTCCATTGAGAGATGAGGCAGCCAAAGCTCAGAAATTTCTTTAATGAATCATGGAGCCAAGATTCAACTCCAGCTCCATTTGACTCTAAAAGTTGAGTCCTTAACCTCCATGTACTACCTGTAATAAAACACTAAAAATATTTATCTGGTTAGGAGATTAGATAGATAGATATGATATGATATAGATAGCTATAGATTATACATATTTTATATTCAAGGTAAAATTCATTGACCTGCTAAGAGGATTTGTGAAAAACTTAATCGATATAGTTATTAAATCCTTACATATTTAATGCTGCTTCTAAATGATCATGGAAGTTACTTTCCAAAAAAATGTTAGTTGCAGCTGCACTGAAAGAGCATTTAGGAAATGTGACAATGTTGTTTACAGCAGTATACTATTTTGTAGAACTCCTGGAGATCCAGTGGGATCTGCCTTTGTGGAACCTGAAGCAAAGGAACAAGTAGCAAAACCTATTGAGGTAAGCCCAATTTCTAAAAAGAAAAAAAATTAGCAAATATTAAAAACTGTAAGAAACATTTTGGCAACCATGTCAGTTACGTTATCCACCATAAGAGGCACCACGAAAACCTGATATAGTCCCTGAGACGGTAAAAATCAACTGTTTCCTGCCTGAAGAGTAGCTGGTGAGTTATTTATTTAATATTTAAGCAGATGGAGCTGCAGTGAAAGGAAACTCGTGACAGCACTGTTACAGGAGAAAAGAAAAAGAGGAAGAAGAAAGCCTGAGCGAGGAGGAATATGAATGAATGAAGCATACGCTGGGGCCAAAGTGTTGAATATGGAAACAAGCTGCCAGAGCACCTATAGGACACAAAGTCCAGGACCATGTCTAAGGACTCCGAAGTAGAGATAGCTGAACCCCAAAATGCATCATCAGAGCAAAAACACAAATGGGAAAGAGTTGAAGTAGCTAGCTTCCCTGAAGTCAGAATGGAAAAGGAGGAAGAGAAATAGCTTTGAAAATGCAGAATTCCTAGCTCCCAGATTAAAAGTCAAGAAAAGGGCCCAGAAAAACAATATTCAAAAAGAAGCTTCGGAAGTATCCAAAGAAAACAAAGGTAGGACTACTCTAAGGTTAGGATTGGATAAACAAGGTTACATTCCATTCATTACATAACCACAAATGTCTTAAGTGGATTTTTAATTTTTCAAGATTTAGAAGTTTTTACTAAAGAGGAAACAGGATGCTGGATATAAAACATGGAAACCTCTGAAAAGCAAAAAGGAAGCATAAAAAAATAAACAGAAAAGAAACAAAATAAGAGAAGAGGTTATACAATTAAGAGTACTATCAAAGTAAGTCTGTGGTATAAATTCTATTGTTAGCAATTGACGTACACTCCAAGATTAGGCTATTTTTTGTTTTTGTTTTTGTTTAAATTGCAGTTAGTTAACATATAGTGTAATATCAGCTTCAAGTGTACAATATAATGATTCAGCACTTCCATATAACACCTGGTACTCATCACAAGTGCCCTCCTTAATTCCCATCACCTATTTCATCCATTCCCCCCCTACCACCTCCTCTCTGGTAACCATCAGTTTGTTCTCTATAGTTAAGAGTCTATTTATTGGTTTGCCTCTCTCTTTTCTTTTTTCCCCCTTTGTTAATTTGTTTTGTTTCTTAAATTTCACATATGGATGAAATCATATGGTATTTGTCTTTCTCTGACTTATTTTGCTTAGCATAATACTCTCAAGTCCGTCCATATTGTTGTAAATGGCATGCTTTCATTCTTTTTGATGGCTGAGTAATATTCCTTTGTCTATATACACCACACCTCCTTTCTTTCCTTCTCAAATCTAGAGTTAGGATTAGGGGCAGGGTGAGGGTATGTGCTTGATATTCTGCAGTTCACAGACCTCTCCGAGAATAAAACCCCAAACTTCTGCTAGGGTGAGAATAGACACAGCAACCATCTACTATACTGAGGCAAGAAGGGTATTTGGAACCCTAAATACTGTTTAAATAGATAATCAATTGTTCCTTCTGCTTTTATTCCTACCTCCACAACCATTTTCAGAAATATTACCAATTATTAAATGTTTGGGGTCTTCTCCACAATAACTAGGCTGCTTCTCAACTTGTCATGTGTTCAGGAACTCAGTTTTTCAGGTTGAGGGTTAGGATGTGGGTATATGATGTTAGGCTGTGTTTTAATAGCTATGACCATTAGCTTTGAAAGCCTGAATTTTTAATATATGGGCAGATTTTATCATTCTGAAGGCCATTTGCATTTATATGCATTTCCCGACATTATAAAAGAAGGCAGAAAGAAGTGGAAGGAAAAGCAACACAACACTGTATTGCCTAAATCTTGAATGACTCAATGCTATTTACTGAGAGCACATAATGTACCAAGCAGTAAAGCAGGATTTAGGGGAGTTCCCAAGGGAATCTCCACAAACCATTTTTGTTTCTAGGATTTGTTTGAAGAAAATTTAGAAGTCCCCATGGACATTCTGTTTAGCTAAATTCCTTAGCTCACTATACTCCAAAATGTTTAAAAAATATATCTTTTTGCATAAAAATCAAAGTAAAGATTTGTTAGTTTCATTTGTTACAGGGAACTATACATTTCATGGTGCCGGATACATTTGGCTCAAGATATAAAATTTGGTTATTCATTTTTTATTTCTTATTTTAATATGTTTATATAGGGGCCGCTGGGTGGCTCAAGTCATATAAGTGTCTGCCTCTGGCTCAGGGGATGATCCCAGCATCCTGGGATTGAGCCCTGCATCAGACTCTCTGCTCAGTGGAGAGCCTGCTTCTCCCTCTCCCTCTCCCTCTCCCCCTCCCCTAACCGCTTGTGCTTGCACGCGCACTCTTTCTCTCTCTCTCTTGCCCACCCACCTTCAATCTATCTCAAATAAATAAATCAAATCTTTAAAAAAAGAAAAATACATTTTTATATAAAAGGCAAATTACATTTCACCTCTGGGGAAAACATTTAGATTTAGTATCTAAGACAAATATATTTTATTTCTCTATGTAACCAAAATATGACACAGATTAATTCAGGTCTTTGATCTCTTTTCTAAATGAAGCTAGTAGGCAATTGTATTAGTTACCTACTGTTACATTACACATTATCTCAAAGCTCAGAGGCTTAAAACAATAATAAGTATTTACTATCTCAGACTTGCTATGGGTCAGGAATTTGGGAATGGCTTCAGGGGTGGCTCTGGTTCAGGGTCTCTCATCGGGTTGCAGTCAAGAAGTTGGTTGTGGCTATAGTTGCATCTGAAGACTTGAGTGAGGCTGGAGGGTCTGCTTCTAAGGTGACTCACTCATGGGACTGATAAGTCAATATTGGCTATTGGTAGGAGGACTCCATGCCTCATCGTGTGTGTCTCTTTATATAGCTGATCAAGTGTCCTCAAACATGGTGGCTGACTTTCCCAAAGCAAGTGGCCCAAGTAAGCAGGGCAAAAGCTGTAATGTCCTTTATGACCTTGCCTCTGAAGTCATACCCTGTCATTTTCACAGTAACCTATTGGTTACACAGGTCACCCTATTCAACATGGGAGGGTAGTACCTAGGGATGTAAAAACCAGGTAGGAAGCATCATTGGAGACCATCTTCCAGACTGGCTACAACAGAAAACAAGGCACTCTAAGAACCAATATTTCCAAAATAAAAAGTTGCACATGTGGGGAGCATGAAACACAAATAGCATATATTCTATAAAGTATGGTATGGTAGATTGTTACAGAAATAGCCTGAAGAATCATACCTTCCTAAATCTATGCCATTGCATAGTTCCCTTTCACACTGACACTAAGGTTGGCCATACAACTTGCTTGGGCCAAAGGGATGTTGGCAATGTGATGCAAGTAATGATATGAAAGCAAAAATACATTGGGGCTTGACCTTTTATACCCCTGGAAATTCTTCCTTCACTAAGTATAGAAGTATAGGAGGTGAAATTGATTATATGTCAAAATGATAATATTTGAAATATAGCAGGTTAATAAAGTATATTATTATTATTTTTTAAAGATTTTATTTATTTATTTGAGAGAGAGCATGAGCAAAGGGGAGGGGCAGAGGGAGAAGGAGAAGCAGACTCCCCATTGAACAAGGAGTCTGAGGCAAGGCTCAGTCCCAGGACCCTGAGATCATGCCCTGAGCCAAAGGCAAACGCTTAACCAACTGTGCCACTCAGGTGCCCCTAAATAAAGTATATTATTAAATTTAGTTTCACCTGTTTATTTTTAACAATGTTAAAAATGTTTTTAAAATATGGCTCCTAAAAAACTTAAAATTACATACATGGTTTATATTTATGGCTCACATGGTATGTTTATTGGACTGTGTCCTTCCTGGTGACTGGGAGAAATTTCAACCACTGCCATCATTCTGTGTCAAGTTCTGTCCCCACAAATCAAGAGAAACAGAAGCTCCAGACCTCAAGGCTACTTTCTAAATTTCAGCTCCACCATCTCCATCCCCCCCCTCCCCACACACATATACGTATTATACAGTCCTGTCCCTGGCCGCATCCTGCTGGCCTGTCAAAACATGCTCTCAAGAAATAGTCGAAATTCAATCACACTGCTTGTAAAATTCAATGGTGGCTTAAATGTTTCATATAATTTTCATTTAAAAATAAAAAATAGATGTATAAAAATGTGAAGATCCAATGGTAAAATCGTCAGGAATAGGTCAAGAGAGTTGTTTTGTTTTCTCCTCCCTGTCCTAGCCTTCACCTCTCCACTCTCCAAGTAGTGGTTGAGAGGGAAACAGGCCTAGAGGAAAAGGCAAGATAGATGAGAGACACAGTCTCATCTGGAATAAACTACACTCCACCTACAAGCCCAGATGGTGCTCTCATAATAGTTGCTCATAATTAGGGGGTAAGAAAGACTTTCACTGTGGCTTTAACGGAATCTTTCCTAAAACCCTTTCCACTCAACTGGATACTAACTGGCCCACTGTTATAGACAGCAAAAAACTTTACAAGCCCAGAAATGCGCAGAGAAAGGGACCCTTTAAAGGGTTTTTAGTCTATACATAGTAGCCTATTATCTTTCCCCAGAGCAATCTATTCTTACCATCATGCAGGAAAGAATTGGGTCGAAAACTTATTCTTATGATCCATATGGCTTTTCTCTATGAAAATATTACTTAGAACCATCATACTTCATTGTATTTTTTCTTTCTTGTACCTACATGAAACTACTCATCCATCATTAGTACAATATATATACTGAATAAATTTTGTAGACTAGATGGATTTTCACTGCTATCCTCCATCCCTTGTGATCAATGTATGCACTGAGAAAACTCTGAGTCTCCATATTTTAAAAAAGTATGGTGAATAGTACTACCTCCCATATATGCTTAGGGAAACCACAGGAACAGAGAAATTTGTATAGACATAAATTTGCATATTGGTTCCAGAATTTATGGATTGAATTTATGGTTTGATTTCAGGTACATTCTTTAAC